TTTTAAAAGGAAAATGATAATGAACGGTCATATTTTTAAGACGTCACTAAAAGTTTTTGAAATAATGCACTCTCTTTATGGATGTGTGCTTCTGACACACGCGGTCCATTACTCTTCCATCCAATCATAGGATAATGAGTGCAAATAAATTCATCATTGCACATCTTTTTGATGCGTCATTTTCATTTCTCCTCCCTCTCTCTCATCTCACCTATAAATATAAGACTCACCCCCTCATATTTTTCTTTACTCTAAAGAACTTTGTCTCTCAAGAATTTGTGCAAACAAGAACCTTCAAAATACTTTCAAACCAGTTTCCTTCTTTTCTTCAATGAAACAGGTTTGTGATCTTCTTTTTTGATTGTTATTCCTTAAGAAACTTTGTTTGATATTTAAAAACGTTCTTCTTTCTTTTAAATACAAACAAATAGGTTAAGATGATTCTTCTTCTTGATTTTAACCAAGTCTCTAAAACCTAAATCTTCTTGAAAACCCTAGTCTTCTTCTAGATTTTTCAATGATTTTCTTCTAACTTTTTCCTAAAGAGATTTCTAACACTAACCTGTGCACCATTCTTCTTTTGATCTTCTTTTTACAGAAGTGGCTGCACAAAGTGTCAACTTCGCTTTGGAAGAAATATCTTTCAAGCCAAACAACCATGTTGCTCTTCTCGACATTCCTGCAAACAAGCCACAGTTTGAAGATGCTGCTAAGTTTTTGAAGAACTCAGTACTAGGATTTGCTCTCTTCTTCGAACCAGTAATGGTGAAGGATGTTCTCTAGTAATTATGGGACACCGTTGAGGCAAAGGAGATGACTGAAAAAGTTGGGAACACAGTAGAAAAGATCTTCTTCATATACAACAACATAACTGTCAGTTTTAGTGTTCCTACCGTCCAGACTGCTCTTCGCCTTCCCAAGACTTTCCCCTTCTCTAGAGAACCTAATACTGAACACATCGTCAAGACCTTGGACGATATCGGGTACAACTGGTCGCTGAAGAAGCATTCCAACTTTGAACTGAACAAGTCATTGACAAAGATCGAGAAGAACATAATGTCTGCCATTTGGTAATACCTTTTCTTGCACTTTATTCAGTGCATGGGCGGCAAGACTAGAAGACAATACCAAGCCTCACAAGTGGTGCTGAACATCGGCACCTCAGTGATCAAGAACATCAACGTAAACTATGCGCAACCTGGATATTCGATGACTTGGTGCTGAAGCTGAACAAGCGTCAGCGTGAGAAGGTGGTTCCCTACACAAGGTTCTTCAGTAGGATCCTCTCAAAGATCTTCACATCAAACTACCCCACTTAAGGTAACCTCCCTATTTGTCGACTTGAATCAAGGATTCTAGATCACAAGACCAAGCCGTCAGACAGTAGCCTATTTGTCCCTATTCTAAGAATAATCAATGATCTTCCCTCTTCTTCTACTACTTCTCTTTCTACTATGGTTAAGGTTGTGTCAAACCTCCCCTCAGTCTATCCTAACCACCACCACCTTATCCTCTAAAAGGAGGACACAATCTGAAGCCCCTTTGTCCTTCAAAGAAGGCTAAGAAAGCCAAAAAGGGGATGCCAAGCAATCTAGCTGAGACCTCTCAAAAGGTCTCAGATATTGAAAAAATCCTTAGCCCCGAGGCACCTTTTGAAACCCTCCCCAGCTCTTCAATTATCTCTTCAAATATTGTCATTCACATGGCTCCTCTCCTAACCACTTCAATGACCCAAATCACTGAAAGTGTGAATATCAACATCGCCACTGCTAATCCTTCACAATCTTTCTCATCCATTCTCTCCTCCCTTCCTTCATTGGTCTGTATTACACGATGATCCCATGGCGTTTGTCCCCACCATTAATGAAGTCATCATCACAGGATGTGAGGTTGCTCCTTTCAAACTTCCCCAGATACATGTTGTTGCCCCTCTCGACAGCACATTCGAGATTCCCAGTTTTAATCCTTTAGATGACGCTGATGACCCCTCAAGTCCTTCAAAGAATGTACCCACAACCATAGAGACTGAAGCTGAAGTATGACATGGCTGAGGATGTGAAATTACTGCTGCATGTTGTCGCCACAGTCCTAGACAAAGTAGACGAGGTACACATGGCAATGATCATCAAGGAAGACCTGACAAACGGCTTCTCTGCAGTCAAAGCTGAGGTTCATGATGTCAAGGATTTGCTGACCGTCATGAAGAGTTCAAGCCAACACTAAAACTGTAGCTGCTATAGGTATGTGAGGACCAAAAAAAGGTTAAGGACCATGATGACAAATCTTAATTATTAATTGAATTTAATCTACGATTATGAAAAGTGATGGCATTTTTGTGATGTTTTTCAAATTTGAAACTAATTATTAGATAAATGACAAGTTGAAAGGGACATTCTTGGCATTTGACATCCAATCCATAGTGATTTAACTTGTATGTTATTTCACCTTGTGAAACAACAGTTTAGAATTTCACATAACATTTTCACTTCATTTTTGTTTCTTATCACATGGTGAAACTAAAAGTTCACGTACTATGTATTAAGATTTTAATGAATAAATGAATATAAAGTATAAACAACAAAGAATAAATGAGAACAAGATATAATAACCAAAAGATTTATTGATTGAAAGAATGAATTACGAGGAACTCAGCAGACTGATATTTATTGAGTACAAAGAATAATAATGAATCAATCTAACAAGAAATAATAAGCTATCTATTTATACAAGAAAGAATTCCTATAAAAACTCGAGTATAAAAAGATAAGCCTTATCGTATCAAGTTTGTTACTCTAGATAATCATCAAAGTTTGCCTCGTTCAGAGTTATTCTAACTCTAAACACTTGGTCTTCAAACTTGTGCTTCAGACTTGTACTTGATCACTTTGGTTTGAACTTCTTCTTTCAGAACTCTGAAGATTTACTCTTCAGAGTTTAACCCTTGTGCTCATGGTCTTGAACTCTGTAGCCGAACTCTGAAAACTGTCAATCTAAAGATCTGAAGTTAATTCTTAAGAGTTATTACTTTGTAACATTTCTTGGACCCCGAACTCTAAATATTGGCGATACAGAATTTTGAAGATAACTCTTCAGACTTTGACACTTAGAGAATTTGAAGCAATTCAATCTCGGATTTACAAAAACAGTACTATGTTGTTTCACATTAGCAACACCGTGTTGTTTCATAATATGAAACAACAATTTAGTGTTTCACACCCCATTTCACATCAACTTTTGTTTTCTTTTGTTTTCAAATAGTGAAACAAAACTTCAGTATTTTATGTCGCGTTTTAAATCAACGGCACTTGTTTTCACATTATGAAATGATACTACATCGTTTCATATTGTATTGTTTCACAAAGTTAACATTTTACTGTTTCACATCAATGACTCTGGTTTATTTCATAGTGAACACTTCCAGTATGACGTTTCACATAGTGAAACAACAATATATTGTTTCACAATATGAAACAACATTTCAGATTTAGCTCATATGTTGTTCACAGTGTGAACACTTAATTCTTTATATATATGTTGTTTCACAATGTGTACAACGAAAAACTGTAATTATTACGAACTGTATGATCAATAAAATCAAGATATATAATTTATACAGAATCGTGTTTGATCAAACAATTTTCCAATAAAAAAAACGTAATAATAACAAGTACAAAAGAGTAAATTCACTACAGAAACTAATCTTAATAAATCCCTTGTTAGTTTCTTTTAATATCATCTTCTTACTTTTAGCTAGTCACATTTTTAACTCGTTGGAGATATTATTAAATACTTGATAATTGAGTCAAAAGTTATTTAATAATATTATTTTGTAACAAATATTAAAACACTAAGGGACCGTTTACCTAAATGTATACTCAGTAAGTGCTTAGTAATAGGAATCAACATTATAATTTATTTAGATGCATAAGATTTTAGTACATCAAAACATATCGAATGCAACAATTTACTAGGTAAGCACTTACCTAGGTAAGAGTCGTCATCATCACTTACCGGATAAGACTATTCATCTTTCTCATCGTTCTTACCCGATAAGATTCTTTGTTTTTCTCATATTCATCCGATGAAGAAATTTATACGTTAAACACTTACCAAGCAAGTGTTTTAAACGACCCCTATAATTATATATTGTTAAATTTTAAATTTTAACCTATAAAAATGATGCAAGTGGCCGCCAAGTGGATGACGGCACACCGATACTCAAAAAATAAAAATTCTCATTATAACCCAAATAAATTAAAATCGGAAGATTTTGCAATACCATTTGGATCAAAAGCCTTGAATGATTGAGATTGATTGTTACAGCTTTCAATTTTTTTATAATTCTCATTTGAATACCATCTTTTATATATATATATATATATCTATACTACATATATAAGCATTTAAGACAAAGTCTTAAATACAACTCTTTAAACACAAGTTACAACCATTTTATGCATAATTTTTAAAAAACTCTTAATTACAAATTATTTTGCACAATGTACAAGTCTTTTATGCAAGGATTTCCACAACACCAAATCCTTAAAGGGAATGCTTCAGAGCGTGCATTTTCTTACAGACTTCTAAAAATCCCTTTTCTGCGTATCTGATCTCAAGCGCCAAAACAAATGTAGATTAGATAGAGTTAGCTTTCTTCTTTCACAGACCTCGAATAGGTAACAATGGTGGTTTTGATGTATCACCTTGATCAGCTTGTAGATCTGATCGAACAGATTTCTTCTCAAACAGTCTTCAAAACCGATTTGATGTATCACAAACTCATCTATACATATAA